AAAAAAAAAATCCATGTGAAAAAAAGAAGAAGAAGAAGCATTCGTAAGACAACGCATGTGACCAGTCAAAATACTATGAAATATATGGGAGTCTTTTTTAGGTACTCTACTTTTGAATAATTAATTAATGAGTTCAATTAAAAAACGTCCAAGAGATTCTTATGATAAAACTGATCTACAATCACATACAACGAGATTGAATGATCGTATTATCAAACATCAATTACACAATTATGGATCAGCTATTGATGTATACGATGCAGTTGCACGAACATTATTACCTTATTGGGAATATAATGAACGATATAAGATAAAAATTTTTCAACAATTACGACTTGATACACCTGGTATTTCTAATATGGCACATCATGTTCGTGCTCAATTACAAACATTACATAATGAAGAAAAAAATTCAGTTATAACAATCTGTGGTATTGATGTATCCAATGGTGCATCATCAGTTTATTTAGAAAGTTGTCCACATGGACGAACATTACAAATATTAACAAATTTACTTGGAATTGAAATACGTCTTGTTACATCATATATTTATGAAGAGATTATATCCGTTATACCAAATGATTTATTAGAAATACAATCATTGTATATTGCATATAATGATGTTTCAAAACAATTTTTTATGCTTGATAAACCAGGTAAACATTTTCGAAGAAAAAAATTTTTTTTATCATTTTCTTTTGTTTTTTAATATTTTAGCAAATGTTAAACGTGATGATTTATTAGAACATCAACAAAAAATTGATCATCTTATTCAGAAATATAATTTAATAGCAACTGTTATATCAACACCAAATTCTCGTTGTTTATCACTTTTTTTATGTATTGCTCATATATTAAAATCTAATACTGTAGATTTTCTTGATACAACAGCATTAGCTATGCAAATTCGTGATGCTACTTATCAACAAATAAAATCAAATTTTGATCAATATGAAAAATATATTCTTCCATCGGCATCAAAAAAATCAAATCATGTTGACATACGTCTTGATAGTCAATGTCTTATTGAATCAAATTATTATCGATATCAATTAGAACGGCCAATATTATTTGCATTAGCTCATGTTCTACAGTGTAATTTATTAATGTTTTCATCATTATCTTTAGAACAACAACCAGAAATAATTGATATTGATAATAATAATCATTCGAATGATAACGATAAACTTATTATTTTAATTAAAAATGAATCGACACAACGTTTTACAAGTGCTCGAACAACGCGTAAAATTAAATAACAATTATAATCTAATAAATATGACTATATTGTTATTGTTTTTTGTTTTTTTTTCTAATATTTAGATCCATTAAATCATTTATTCGTTCGAAAAGAATCTGACAATCATAATGATCCAATTTATGAAACTATTGATCATTCACCAGTGTCTGATACAAAAAATAAATCAATATTAACAAATACATTTTTTAGTAAAACAAAAGATAAATTTGTTACAGCTGTTAATAAATTAGTTGATAATTATGGAAATATACCGAAAAAACAAACTTCTACTAATAATTCACAACAACGATCAAATAATAGTACAAATGAACGAACAATACCAACATCATCTAGTGAGCAAAAGCCATCAAGTACAAAACGACAAGCTCCCATAGCTGAACATATTCTTCGTCAACAAGAAGATACAACACGTCATACGAACAATCAAACACCTGAAGTAACATATGAAAATACAAAAACATCTTTACCAACACCAGTACCACGTCGATCATCAACATCATCATCAACAATAACTACTCCAACTAAAACTTCTGTAATATTTGCTCATTGATGCGTGTCTTTATCTATATATATATATATATATAAATCGTAATATAATTTTTTCCTCATTCTGTATTTTTTTCTTCTAGCAACCTTCGTCATCAAATAAACGTCAATTACGTGCTGTTCCTTACAAAGATAGACAAACAACATTAACAAAAATGGGTACAGCAAAAACAACACTTAATCAAAAAATATTTAATGGTGTTACTATTGAAGATGTTGATGAAAGTACAACTGCTGATGAAGCCAATAATGATGATGATGATGATTCATTTAGTGATGAAGCGATGGATAATTTACAAACGGTTATTCTCAAAGAAAGAAAGAAAAAAACAACATCAGCTACCACAACACCAATAAAAACATCAAATAAGTCGTCACATGATAATCACACAAAAAAATCAACACCTTATCATTATGATCATGATTCACTTAAACGACAACAACAAAGTCATACGAAACCTGATGAGGATATTTATGAGAATGATCGACAACGAGATGATTTAAATCGTGATGATGATATTTATTTATCAACATCAGATATTGTTCAACAAGATCGAAAACAACTTCAATTATTTGTTAATGATCGAACAAATAATAAACAACAATCTTCAACATCATTATCATCATCAATACGACAACAAGAGCGTAAAACAT